GCCGTATCACCTAGCTCAGGATCTTAGAATGCCAAGTTGCTTCAGTCAAGATTCTGAATAGAGCGTACAAGCGCTGCTTTATATAGAGTGGGAGCCCCTCATATTTCGCGCGCTTGAACACCATTGGCCAGTTTCACTGGCGTGATTCAATAAGGCTTCAGTAGTATTTGGAAGAAAAGGGTAATTCCCATAGCAATGTCTCGTTCCCTCATCTCAGGGAACCGAGCCATACCGAGGTTACGTGAGTAACCGAGAGCGTTTTCCCCACGCCGACTCTGCCCACACAGCTATGACGCAACACCGATCAAGTCTATACGACATTCGGTAAGGGAAACGCAAAAATTATCACGATATTATCTGTCATAAACGTAATCAACGCTGTCAAAAACAGTAGCATTTAACACTAGTACACAAAGATCTGTAGAACAAGTAGGTTAAAGAATGAAATGAAATACGCAAAAACTAGCCATGAAGAAGTCTATGCTATGCTATTCAGTATAGTTAAATTTTCGCAAATCATGCTATAAACTTTCATAAGAGCACTAGACAAAGTTATTGTAATGTTGCAATAAACAACTGATAAAATTATCCACCCTTAAATATAGGCTAGTAAAGTATTAACAAATTTTGATGCAATAAATAGGGTATGATTTAAAAATAATCATCCCTCCAAAACATAGAAAACATCTTTCACAAACATCTACATGTCTGTCTCCTAAAGTGTTTATAGTGTATATAATGAGTTGTATTTGTAGGGGTTATTATAACACAATTCTTTAACACCAACCCCCATCATCCGCCCAACCCCCCAAAAAATGCAAATGTATAAAATTGGAATAGAATAGAAATTACATTATATTTTAGCCTACCGGTTCTTAGTATACTTTGGCACTACACTTTAACTATATTTCAAAGACAATAGATGTTAATTATGAAATTGCATAAAGATGTGATTTTTTAAGTATACTCTTTCTAAAAGTATGCTAAAATGTACTACTTTTACATAAATATAAAATCATCATATTGCATGCTACTGACCTACATTTGGATAAACAGAAGTTGTGAGTGGTATGTATGGAATTACATACCAATTTATATCATTTTCCACTGTCAAACTGTTATTGTTCCTGTTAAAGATGTTAGAGTCACATATGTTCTTATTTCAGTGGAAATTAAAAACCCTCCATGACAAAATGGTACAACAGGTAGAAAAAGCGTGGCATTTAGCTGGTAATACGTGACATTGTTCATCCTATCAGATATGTAAATGCCCTTTTGAACAATAAAAGTGAAGTGAAAATGTGAAGAAAAAAAAGGTTGGGGAACAACGTGAAAGGTCAGTCTAAGCAGGGTTACACAAGCAGGTAGATACATTTCAAACCACACATTAAAAAGGGAAATGCGGTTACACCATTTCCAAAATTCATGTAGGAAACTTAAAATTTATAGTACATGCATTTCTGTTTCCTGTTCAGACCTCTGCTTCTTTCCTGTGAATGAAGCAGACGTCTGTCTGGTGTATATTTGAAAGAACAGATGTGCGTCTCAAGCATAAGATAAAACCACTCTTTTTGTTTCCATGCAGTCATCATGCGTTCTGTGGTTAGTGAGTGTGAGAGACGTATTCCCTGACTTCATATGACTTCTGCATGATGTCCATATCTTACAGAGGAACTATTTAAAACAAAGTGCGGGAAAAAAGCGTTTCTTCAAGGGTTTTATGAGTCTATTGTTGTGGTTTTGGATCACCATTAAACATATTTGATCACTTAGGATATAAAGGGATTTAACATCTAATGCTGAATGTAATCAAAAATTGATATTCATTTAGACATCATTATTCAAGTAAAATAATGCAACAATATACTGTACAGGACCACCCAAGGGCAGGGTTGCCCTTTCTTCACTCAAAAAAACGATAGTTCAGTTTAATTAATTAAATTGAGTAACATGATTAATAGACCAACAAAAGTAGTCTTGACCCTTCCCTTCTGGAGGCCTTTAGACTCCCAGTCAATGAGCACATGGTGCTGGACAGTGGACACACAAAAGAGCTGAAACACACCTGAGATTTGAAGGCAAATGTTAGTCTTACTTTATCAGTTACTAGCTAAATGCAAATGACTTAAACAGTTAATAAACTTTCAGCATTTCTTGACCCTTGTGAAAAAGAAGTGTGATTAATTGTATTGAATTTCAAATCCTAAAAAATTTTTTTTTTAATGTTTTTGAAAAACTCTAAATGAAATTAAAGGCCACATAAGTATACTTAAAAAGAGTACACTTTCTTGACATTGTAACATATAAACGTACATTTTTAAAACGTGTGATTTGCAATAGTCAAATGAAAAGTTATACATTTTAAAGTACATTTAATAACACTTTTCAAGAAGTTACATTTGTTAAGATTAGTAAAAACTCATAAAACTAACAATGAAAAATACTTCTAGAGCATTTATTAATCTTAATTAATGTTGATTCCAACATGACAACAAATAAATGTTGATTCCAACATTTACTAAAACATTATTAAAAACAAAAGTTGTATCTATTGATGTTATTTAATGGACCTGATCTAATATGGACTAACAATGAGTTGTATTTTTAATAACTAACATTATCAAAGATACTGTAACAAATGTATTGCTCATTGTTAGTTATTATTATTTAATGCATTAAATATAGTTAACAAACCGAACCTTATTGTAATGTGTTACCGTACATTTTATAATAATTGTTTTAATAATCTTTTGTCATGCTTTAAAGGGTCATGAAACCCTAAAACACATTTTTTTTAAATGTTAACATGCATCAGTGAAAACAACAATTGCACTAATTTTGTTTGTTTGTTTTCTTCCTTTTTTTCTGGAGCCATTACATTCTTCTGGTTCAAAAAGCAATGCTCAAATTTTTTTTTTAATTGTTCAAAAAATAAATACATAAATATGTTCTAACATTAAAGCACATGTAAAGTACTTTATTATAATTGTAATTTTAGTTTTTTAAATATTACATTTATATTTTTAAAAATGTAAATTTATTAAATTGGAATAGAATAGAATAGAAATGATCTTAAGTCTACCATAAATGGTTGTTAGTATACTTCAGCAGTACACTTTAACAATATTTCAAAGACAATAGACAACAGAATAAAGATGTATTTAAGTCCCAAAAACATAAGCTTAGTTTAGCTATCTGTGTTCAATATAAACTTAAAACTATAATACATTTTTTTTTAATTGAAATTAAAATGCAATTGTCAGGAAATATGCTAAAGGTACTTCTTTTTTAAAAGACCATGGCAGTAGTCTAAAATCATTAAAATATTGCATACCTCTTTCCCATAAACAGAATAAACAGAAGTTGTGAGTGGTATGTATGGAATTACATACCAATTTATATCATTTTCCACTTTATTGTTCCTATTGTTCCTGTTAAAGATGTTAGAGACACGTAAGTTTATTTCAATGGAAATTAAACTCCATGACAAAATGGTACAACAGGTAGAAAAAGCGTGGCATTTAGCTGGTAATACGTGACATTGTTCATCCTATCAGATATGTAAATGCCCTTTTGAACAATAAAAGTGAAGTGAAAATGTGAAGAAAAAAAAGGTTGGGGAACAACGTGAAAGGTCAGTCTAAGCAGGGTTACACAAGCAGGTAGATACATTTCAAACCACACATTAAAAAGGGAAATGCGGTTACACCATTTCCAAAATTCATGTAGGAAACTTAAAATTTATAGTACATGCATTTCTGTTTCCTGTTCAGACCTCTGCTTCTTTCCTGTGAATGAAGCAGACGTCTGTCTGGTGTATATTTGAAAGAACAGATGTGCGTCTCAAGCATAAGATAAAACCACTCTTTTTGTTTCCATGCAGTCATCATGCGTTGTTAGTGAGTGTGAGAGACGTATTCCCTGACTTCATATGACTTCTGCATGATGTCCATATCTTACAGAGGAACTATTTAAAACAAAGTGCGGGAAAAAAGCGTTTCTTCAAGGGTTTTATGAGTCTATTGTTGTGGTTTTGGATCACCATTAAACATATTTGATCACTTAGGATATAAAGGGATTTAACATCTAATGCTGAATGTAATCAAAAATTGATATTCATTTAGACATCATTATTCAAGTAAAATAATGCAACAATATACTGTACAGGACCACCCAAGGGCAGGGTTGCCCTTTCTTCACTCAAAAAACGATAGTTCAGTTTAATTAATTAAATTGAGTAACATGATTTTTGAACATTTTGTGCCAACTTAATTTTGTTGTGTTCTTACTATATTTAAAATTGAAGTTTAATTAGTTAATTTGTGTTAAACCTACACAAATCATTTTTGTAGACAACTAACTGGGCAGTAGATCTGTGGTTCTCATCATGCTTTGCAAGGGGCTGCATTAGGAGAGTACATTTAGGGATAAAGTCTTATTCAGCAAAGGGAAAGAAATGTTAGTGTTTAATGTTCAGTTATGTTGGACATTTAGAGGAGGTTCTGCAGTGTTTTTGAATTTTGTGGTTACCATGCAGAAAAGTGTCGCCAGTGCTGTGGGCACTCAATGAATAATAGCTATTCTAGTGTCTTCTCTCGTTTGTTCATTATATGTATTGTGCATAATGATGTACACAACTGCTGGTTTAAAAATAAGAAAATTAATTAAACTTCAGTAAATTAATATTAAAAAAATTAATGAATATAAAAAAATCCCACTCAAGTCGTTTTTAAAAAAACATAATAATAAGTTGAACCTACTACATTAAATTAATTTGGCCTAAACCAGTTAAATTGTGTGGACCCAACTAAACAAACATATTTATTTATTTGTTTGTTTATAATAAACTAAGTTAAATTGTGTGTAAAAACTTGCTTGAAGTAAGAGTGATGAATTATTTTTTGAGAGTTTGAACCATATGACGCATGTGAAAAACAGGAAACTCGTACAGTTTAAAAGGTCTCAGAGTGAAACCACCAGAATGTCATTAATCTGTTAACATGTATGCCCTGACTGGACGTCAAAGCCTGGCACTTTTTTTTGCGATTATCCTTCTCTGTTGGGCAGACTGTAAGTTTAATAGCTTGTTTCTCGCACTGAAATTCGATGATGGCACCATGTTAATATGTTTAATATTATCTGTTAAATTAACAGTTATTTAGCTTCAATTCCAGCTTTTTACTTGACCATTGGCAGCCTGCATATAAGCAATGAGCGTCCACATGTGCAGTATTTCCATGTAAAGTTTAATTTGTGCTATCTTGAAGGCAGCCCCTCTCTGCAGGATGATTTGGCTCCCCTTGAAGTAAAGTTCCATTCTTTGGACTTCAGAAATGTCTTACACTGGAAACATCCACAAAAAGCTGTCAAGAACCTGACATATTTTGTTCAGTATAAAATGTAAGCGTGCACAACTTTCTTGTCGAAGAACGTAAATTATGTTCATAAATTAACTTACCAATATCGGCAACACCCGAACTGAATCCGCAACGTTTCATATTGGTGACTTCTCTTGATTTCAGATATGGAGACAAAGAGTGGACTAATTCTGAGCACTGTCAAGGCATCCGGTTGCTGGAGTGTGACTTGAGCCAGGCGACGTCAGATCCCAGAGAATGGTACTATGCCAGGGTCCGTTCCTTCTCCTCTGAGGAATTCTCATCATGGGTCCTTAGCCACAGGTTTTACCCTCAGTGGGAAAGTGAGTATACTGCATCATTTTAATTATAACTGTCCTTCAGAAAAGCTTATAATTCAACACATTTGTCTACATTTGAAATGATCTTCCATCCACATATGGTTGATTTTTCAATAGATGTGCCAATCAAAGAGGAAGAAAGATTACACAGTGTGACTGTGACGGCATAACAGCACAATTTGATATTTTGTTTTTCTTCCTGTGGAACTTCTCACCAAATAACTTCCTCCAAATTACAGCCAGTTTCAGCCCACCGCAGATAAAGGTGACCATGACAGGACGGATCATTTCAGTTCAGATCAGACCTCCGAGGACACCTCTGCGAGGACAGAAAGGCTCTAGGATACGAGTGACAAAACTGCAGAAACTGAAATTTAGAATATACCTGATGCACAATGATGTAGAAGAGGTAAGAACACCCTTACTTATAAATGTACAAATTCAATGTGTATATAGTAAACGTATGTGAAATTTTAGATTTAAACAATATCACATGCATAAGAGCAATTTGCACTTCATTTGGCAGTTGTTTTTCCGAAATGTTTTAAAATAACTGTCTGGCAGCCCATGCCCTAAAATTACGATAATTATGAGAAATGACTCCAAACTCCTCAAATTCAGTATGCTAAACCTTCACCAATCCCATCTTTCCCAAATAGGAAGTTTATGAAACAGACAGTTGCTCCAAGGAGCTTGTGATTGAGGGGCTACGTCCGAAAACCACCTACTGCCTTCAGGCTATGTGCGTTACTCCTCGCTCAGGCCGCAAAAGCTTACGGAGTTCCAGCACCTGCATCAGCACTCATTGAGGGCTTAGTGTCTCCCACAGGTAAGCCTTACGTAACACGTGATATGGCTTCTTTAGTACGGGAAACACCTGAGATAAATGATGGTGTCCGTGACAAGTTCCCTCCCGGGCATTGATGGTTGGTAGACAAAAAGACGGCAAAGTGAGCACAGACATGCTACTTGTTATTCGAGACAGAGATTGCACTCTTGAGACACCCTCAGATCAAGTTCCAACCACCTTAGGATAAAATAGACTGATTGTCTACTTTGCCAAGAGTTTCAGTTCTGAGAATTTGGAGTGTTCTCTTCTTCCACATACAAGACGCACGTGTATTTTTAGAGTATTCATATTATTTCTGGTTTTGATTATAACATTTCTGTTTTATCTGCCTGCAGAGTGAGGCTGCTTCTGGACCTTTGTTCAACATGAAAATTACACACATACACACTACATAGTGGAATGTCTGCAATTCTTCACCAAGGTCATGTTTACTATAAAGCTGACTATAAGCCTGGCTTTGCTTTATGTTACATTAAAGCTGAAGTGTGTAATTTCTGCACCACTAGCACCATCAGCAAAAATAATGACTGTTTACATAGAGGTTTCCTGAACACTCTTATCTTTCATTGGGTGGACAAAGAGATACCACTGGTTTGAGCCAACAGCAGCGGAAAGTGTTTTTTGTTTTTTTTCTCAGGAAAATCAACTACTGGCTTACTTGAAGATATTTAGTATTAAGTTAGGTTTTTTAAATTAAAATACATGCACGCTTCAGCTTTAAGGCTAACGAATGATGAAAATAAAAACATGAACTAATAGTCACGTTTAGGATTGAGAACTGAACACCAAACAGAAGTAATTAAATATTATGATACACAGTGTTGAAACGCAACAAATAAATGGTTGCAGCATATGACTGAAAGTAAAACTAAATAAATTATAAAAGAAATGCTTAAATGTTGTATAAAGTATTTATTGGTCACTTGTGTACAGTAAAATAGTAGGATTTGATTTGATCTTTGAGCCCTCCTGGAGCAAATAACCAGTCCACATCTGAACAGAACAGCTTTTAACATAAATTTAAACTGGTCACACAGGTAAAAACAGAGCTCAATAGAGCATACACTGTGCAGACACTAAAAAGCAAACCAGTAAAACAATTAGCAGTGCATGTGTACCATGTAACAATCTTTCAAAATCATTTCACAATCCAAGACTTCAACTTTGGTGAAAACATAAATCATCTGTTGCTTTCTCTAAAGGTTTTCTGTCATTCACACATCTGTGTCCTTCACGTTTGGGAATCGGTCCAAATAAAACTGCTTAAAAAAAAAAAGGCCTGTTCTCTGCATTCTCCCATAATAAGAGAAATGATTGTGCTTAGACAATAACACCAGATGAATTCTTCAAAAACAGGCATCATTTTATTATTACTTCATCTAGTAATGATCATTTCAAGACAAAAAGGAGGCACCACAATGTCTCTCCAAGTCCTTTGTTCTTATGAATCCTAATGTGCAGCTGCATATCTAAACTAACAGTATACTCTGTTAGTGTCTTAAAACAATAACAGCGTAAATGTACTGAACAATCATCATTACATGACTCAAAAATTCCAGTGCTACAAAACATATTTTGTTCTTCCTTCAAAACATCACCACATAATGGCTGTTTTCTGAACAGGAGGCAGTGGGAAAACCTGTGATTATTTCTGAACAGACAATACATTTATCCTGAATGATATAATTACAGTAAATAATTCTAGTCCCTACTATAACAAGCTTTTCAATACTGAGTTGTTTCTCAAACACGTCTTTTGCAACAAACTAAGAGTACAGTACTCTTCCATTTGACACCCTACAAGCACAAAATGTTTCAATTTGTTCAATTAAGCATGTTCTGAATCTCAATCTCCACATCTTGAAGATACAGAATAATATTTTAAGTGACACAGAGAGAGAACATGGAAACGCAAGATACTGAAGTCCACAGCAGACAATGAACAAGCAAATAATTCAGTCTTTTACACAGGGTAATGATTAAGAAAACAGTTTGAATATATAGAATGACAGCTAAAAAAAGTTTAAATCACTTACATACAGTTCAAGCTGAAGTATATTTTAAGGAAAGGTACACCAAATCTTGATTTCACGTCATATAATCAATTATCATTTTAAACTTTTAGTGAACCTACAGCAGCGTAAAACTCAAAAACAAGCTACTCAGACGGTAACAGTTTTTAAGTAGCATCCTGGTGCTTAACAAATCTATTAGTTAAATTCATTTTTCAGAGTTTGTATAGACTGGAATGATTTGTGAAATAATAGCAATATTGATAGACACTAACAATATAGCTAATTCATTTATCACTATTTGGCAGCATAATGAACCATCTATATATATATATATATATATATATATATATATATATTCTCATTTAGGTTATGC